AAATTCAATGCTTAAATCAGAGCGCTGCCTTTGTATTTTTGACTGAATTGCCTAGACACTTTTATGATGGCGGCTGTTGTTGTTGTTTATTAAATATTATTATTCAATAAATAATATTTGATATAAACAATATTTTCCCTCTGTCTGTGTCAAAAAACGAGCGGGAGGGCTAAAGTTATCACGCACTAATATTACGTCTGCTTGTACTTACTGCTTACTCTTTTCTTGTTATCAGAAAATAATACTTCTGATTCGGCCCCTCAAAGTTTAAATCCCGTATGATAAGCGCGCGTCCTTGTATGTCTCACAATGGTTACGCATGTATTAGGTCAGTAGGCGAAGAGTAGGTGGTCTTTTGTGGCTGCTCGAACACATTTGACCACATCAGCGTCTACACCACGAAAGCAATCCGTTTGAATGCAAGCTCAAAACGTTTCACACCCCGTTTACAGCTGTATTTAGCGTTGTCCACTCGTGCATAAAATGGGTCTGATACCTGTCCGGCTTTTCTTTGAGTACGTGGCCTTGAAACTGAGACGTCTTGCATTTGCATCAGGTGTGAGTTTTTGAACTACAGGAAGCGGTTCAGCTCAAGGTCCTGCTTTATTTAGAGGAAACACGTCTGAAAAGGTGTGATGGAGGCAGATGCAGGAGTCTGACACACACACACACTCAGGTTGGGCTCCTATCGTTTCCTCTCATCAGCATCACTCAGCGCCCAGTCGCCATGGCAACGCCTCCCACATCGGTGTTTCAGTGAGATGTGTTCATTACAGCCTTAATTTACCTCCCACAGTCTCGCTTTCTATCTTTCAGCACTGCCTCTGATCTTCTGCTGCTGCCTTTTCCTGCTGACTGATGAGGCATGTTTTTGCACGTTACCGTGCCGAATATGAAGAAAAGGCGAGTGTCATCCAAAACTAAACATAAAACTTCAAATAAACTCGACCCTGATGAATAGCTGAATCTAACGTCTCTGTTCATCCTCTCATGTTTATCTGTCAGTCATGTGTTCTCCAACAATCAGACGTTCACTTCACAAAAAATTCCGTGGCACGGTCACAAATTTCTCGGGCAAAACGTCCATAGTCAAAAGCACAACGACATACTACGAACACAGACTTTAGATCTACAAAGACGGTACACTCATATTATTTATGAATGACAATATGGCGGAATAGTCCCGCCTTCTCAAAAAAAAAAAAAAAAGAGCCAATGGCTAATAGGTATAAAGTCATCCACCATTTTCCTAACAAGCCTACTGCGTTTTAAATTATGGGTGGCACTTCCGGTTTGAAGAAGTTCCACTCAGACTGGAACAAATCATTTCAGATCATAAGACTGCGCTACAGATAATCCTTATCCGTCATTTTGACTGAATGGACTTTCAAAATGTTCATTAATTTTCTATTTTCAGAAGTCAGGAGAATAATGGTGCGTTTGGGATATTAATGTGATGTGATATAACAACAATATAGAAAAGCTCTTTTCAGCCCGCTGCATTACCTGATTATTTTTATGCTTCCTTTGTATTTTGCTGTAAGTAAATGAAAAAGGACAACATATCCTGTGCATTTGTGGTCTGCTCTTCCGATTTAATTTACGATAAACCATGAATAATTCCCTTGAATGCACTAAGAATTGTTCCTTTTTCTCCCCAAATCCTCATGTCTCTTCTCTTTCCAGGTTTGTTTTCACATGGATGTTGTAAAATGTAATTGTTATGAAATATATATTACTATAATGATATTTGTTGGAAAAAGTTGGATGGAAACAATCGGCATTCTGAGACGCACACTTTTACAGTAGCCCCTCCCTGCAGAACAAAGATCCAGGGGGCGGGGTTGGCTCCACATCTAGGGGGTGGAGATGGTAGGTTTAGGGGCGGATATGGGTGGGTTTAGGGATCAGGGGGTGGAGACGGGTAGGTTTAGGGGTGGATATGGGTGGGTTTAGGGATCAGGGGGTGGAGACGGGTAGGTTTAGGGATCAGGGGGTGGAGACGGGTAGGTTTAGGTATATGTAAGGTGGGAGGAGTTGGATCTGGATCCAACCTCGCCCCCTGGATCTTGTGTTCTGCAGTGAGGACCATCTCCACTTTTATGACAGCACATGTGCATTGGCTGGTCTGGCCGGGAAAAAAAGAAGCTTTTTGACGCTATTAGAAACATTAATGAGATGGTTGTTTATGAAACAGATTTCAAATATGAAATGGAATCATAAGCTTGATGAACAGCTTTCGAGAATTTGATGTTTGGAGCTGTGCTTGCATGACTGAAGTGGCATTTTGATGGCCGTCAAGTGAAATGACTTGCCTTAAAGGGACTTTGATATGAAGCACAGCTCAATAACAACATGATTGTTCAGCTGATTAAAAAACATCTTTACGGAAAAAAATAATGCAGTCAACAAAAACGGTTTGTTAAAATTACGTGATCTAAGACCTTTATAAAGCGTGTGCACTTTCATCCGTGATAAATTCATTATGGCGTCCAACCTGATTAAGGTCTATAAAGTAGATTGGCATGAGAGCGTTTCGCCTTCTTGCTGAGGAATGGTAAACATGACCACCTTATTAAGTTTAGGTTGGTCCTGTGTTCAAACTTCACATGTTAAACCTAGTTTTATCTCATTACTACGTGAAAAAGTGAAACTATCACATCGACATGATTCACTAATGACAAACACAAACCATATTGACGTTCAACACTACATCTATTGCTTTAGCATTTCAAACCGTCTTGATATTTTATCCAAATGCAACAGCATTTCAAGTGATTTTTAAAGGGTTACTCCACCCCAAAATGAAAATGTTGTCATTAATCACTTACCCCCATGTCATTCCAAACCCGTCAAAGCTTCGTTCGTCTTCGGAACACAATTTAAGATATTTTGGATGAAAACCGGGAGGCTTGTGACTGTCCCATTGCCTGCCAAGTAAATTACACTGTCAAGGTCCAGAAAAGTATGAAAGACATTGTCAGAATAGTCCATCTGCCATCAATGGTTCAACTGTAATGTTATGAAGCGACGAGAATACTTTTTGTACGCCAAGAAAACAAAAAACCCAGATTTTATTCAACAATTCGTCTCCTCTGTGTCTCTCCGTATCACCGTAGGGCCATTTTGGAGAATATGCGCAGTATGCAAACGCCGTACACTGTTCTGTGTCAGCCGTGACACAAAGATACGTTTTCTACGTGTAGTTACGCTTTGATTTGAATGAAAACAGCGCATCCGTGCGGCGTGGCTGACACAGAAGAGCGTACGCTGCTTGCATTCAGTGGATATTCTCCAAAATGGCACTATACGGTGATGCAGAGAATTGTTGAATAAAGTCATTATTTTTGTTTTCTTCGCATACAAAAAGTATTCTCGTTGCTTCATAACGTTACGATTGAATCACTGATGGCAGATGGACTATTCTGATGATGTCTTTCATACTTTTCTGGACCTTGACAGTGTAATTTACTTGGCAGGCAATGGGACAGTCACAAGCCTCCCGATTTGAATCCAAAATATCTTAAATTGGGTTCCGAAGATGAACGAAGCTTTGACGGGTTTGGAACGACATGGGGGTAAGTGATTAATGACAAAATTTTAATTTTGGGGGTGGAGTAACCCTTTAAGGCTTTCCAAGACCTCTCAGAGATTAGCACCACATTTTAGGCTGTAGATGCACGTCTAAACGCCATCATGCATGTTTAAATTCAGTCCATAAAGAGGTCAAAACTGTAACTTTCTAGTAAGGATTTTCTGAACAAGGAGAGGACGAGCCCCTCAGGAGGGGCGTAAAGGTCTATCAAATCATCTTTACTAACTGCGCTAAAGAGATCTGTATTCTCTAGAGATCCATCTTATGAAGAGAGGTTAAAGTTTGAACTATTTTCGGTGCACATTAAAAAATCTAGACCACATTAACACCACCACATGTGTTAAGATCATCTGTAGGACGACATGACTTGAAATGTACCTTCTCATACACAGAAGAAGTCATTTGAATAATGCTACATGCTGCATGTGACTGCTTACACACCAGCGCCACACAGTGGTCATCTGAGGAATGACCACATTTCTAGTTTTTAGTCATGTACTGCCAAATCCCATCAAGCAAGCTGAAATTTGATTATGGCTATCACAACTCATCAATGAGACCATTATTTTGGGACACTTAAATAATTTGGAAAACATCCTGTGTAAACTAAAACAGCCCTTAAAACCTTTTACTCTTCATTTGAGAACATTTTAACTTATAAAAAATATACCGAGCAGCACAACCGTTTTCAACACTGACAATATTAAAAAAAAAGTTTCTTGAGCAGCAAATCAGCATATTAGAGTGATTTCTGAAGGATCATGCAACACTGAAGACTGGAGAAAATTCAGCTTTGACATCAGGAATAAATTACATTGAAAATATTTTCAATTTCAAATAGAAAACAGTTAATATTTCACTATATTCCTGTTTTTTTCCGTATTTTTACCAACTAAATCCAGCCTCATAACTTTTTTTTTTTAAAAACCTTTGAATTTGACATTTGAATTGAAGAAAAGACAAGAATATCGCAAGCTTATTTTGGGACACTTAAATAATTTGGAAAACATCCTGTGTAAACTAAAACAGCCCTTAAAACCTTTTACTCTTCATTTGAGAACATTTTAACTTATAAAAAATATATTGAGCAGCACAACTGTTTTCAACACTGACAATATAAAAAAAATATTGAGCAGCAAATCAGCATATTAGAGTGATTTCTGAAGGATCATGCGACACTGAAGACTGGAGAAAAGATGTTGAAAATTCAGCTTTGACATCAGGAATAAATTACATTGAAAACATTTTAAATTTCAAATAGAAAACAGTTAATATTTCACAATATTCCAGTTTTTTTCCATATTTTTTCCAACTAAATCCAGCCTCAATAACTTAAAAAAAAAAAAAAAAAAACTTTGAATTTGAACTTTGAATTGAAGAAAAGACAAGAACATCGCAAGTTGGTGGTTAATGGGCGACTAGTTGTGCTGGTTGGTGGAGTTTGTGTCCGCAGCGGTTCCGTTCGGGTCGGTGGTGACTGCGTGTTCTTCGTCCTCGATTTTCAATCGTTTGCTCTCCGGTGGCTCGCTGCCATTTTCTCCATTCTGCCGCTTCGTGGGGAGGGAGGCGGATGCCGAGGCGTGAGTGGCCAACATGTGTAAAGGACTCGACACTGGACACAAACAGAAAGAGATGCTTGACATTAAAATCCTCTCTCAAGTCTTGGGTTGCTGTGCTATCTGAGCTTCCTTATTATTAATAAACATTATTATTATTTCTAAGACAAAAATATATTACTAATACTACTGTAAAACAACTGCACTGTAAATGTAAAAAACTAAATGAATAAGTATACTTTCAAAAGTTAAAGTCTTGAGCACTGGGGTTTGACATTAGAATTCACTTTTGTTTCACTTCAAAGGGTTAACAGCAGTTGTAAAAAAAAAAATCATAAGTTTATTAATTATATGACATTGCAGTAGTAAAATTACTAATATATATATATATATATATATATATATTTACTACTTTTCTTCACTTTCAAGACTTTAAGACTTGAGCATTTGGTTTTCTATGACATTAGAATTCATTTTTGCTTAGCTTCAAAGGGTTAACAGCAGTTGTGAAAATAAATAAATAATTGTTTTACTTTACAATAGTAAAATTACAATGCATATGACTTCATTTCTTTACTTTCAAGAGTTTTAAGCCTTGGGCTTTCGGTTTTCTTTGACAGAAATAATTTGAGCTTTACTTCGAAGGGTTAACAATGGTTGTAAAAAAAAAAAAAAAAAAAAAAAAAGAATATTTCATTAGAATATTAATTATATTACTTTACAGTAGTAAAATTACAACATTTCCAACTTAATTCTTGATTAATTCTTAATTCTTCACTTTCAAGCCTTGAGCTTTCGGCTTTCTTTGAAATAATACATTTTTGCTTCACTTCAAAGGGTTAACAATGGTTGTAAAAAATTTTTTATATTTCATAAGAATATTAATCATATTACTTTACATTGGTAAAATTACAACATTTCCAACTTAATTTCTTCACTTTCAAGAGTTTAAGCCTTGAGCTTTTTTGACATTAGAATTCATTTGTGCTTTGCTTAAAAAGGGTTAACAGCAGTTGTGCAAAATAATCTTTGATAAAAGGTATAACAATTAATTTACAGTAGTAAATAAGAATTGTGACTTAATTTAATCAATTTCAAGAGCTTAATCTTTGAGTTTTTGGTTTTCTTTGACATTAGAATTAGCCTAATTCTTTATTTGCTTCAAAGGGTTAACAACAGTTGTAAAAAAAAAAAAAGAGGAACGTTTCATAAGTATATGAATTGTTTTACTTTACAGTAGTACAATTATAGCATTTCCAACTTAATTTCTTCACTTTTTAGAGTTAAAGACTTGAGCTTTTGGCTTTCTTTATAGATTTTAGAATTCACTTCTGCTTCACTTTAAAGGGTTAATTAATATTTAATAATAAATATATAAATTATTTTAATTTAAGTCATAAGTATTGTAATTTCACAACTATAATTTCTTCACATTCAAGAGTTAAAGCCTTGAGCTTTTACTTTGGGATAGACTGAGCTAGAGAAATTAGAAAAAAAAAAACTATAGAAATGTACAGTAAATATAGAAATATAATATAGAAATGTCACTTGTATATTTCTACAATACTGAAATGCCCATGACTTTAAGAATTCATCAGTTTTCATGACTTCTTCAGTTATGAAATGGGGGGAAACAAAAACCAAAAAAAGAATATGAATAGAAAGAAAAGAAAATCTGTATTCAAATTCTGCTATCCTGGAATTATATGATTGATGTTTAATGTGATATCAGATGCGTGAATGAATACCTGCGTTAGCCTGGCTCTGTATTGCTGTGGCGATGGGCACTACATGAGTGCCATTCTGGGTGATGGTTTTGATTGGCAGTTGGTGCTGGCCCAATGGGGCTTGTTGCACTATGGTAACCATCTGGAGGGGTGTGGCTGCAGTGCTGTTTTGAATGATCCTATTGGCTGAGCCTATAGAGCCATGAGTGATGCCAGGAACTGACTCTACCTTCACTAAAGAGACAGAACACATTTTGTTACTGACATTATCTGAAGAAACCAAAACCAGGTCAAGTGCCTGGACCTAAGCGCTCACCTTTGACCTCCTCTCCATTCTCCAGCGTTTCTGTTTTGATGGCGTGGTGCAGGCTTGCTCCGCCAACAGTACTGACGGCCACCGCAGGGATTTGATGCACCACGTGCACCGTCTGCATCAGCGGCTGCGCAGACGTGGAGGACGTGACGGGGGCGGCCACAGCGTACGTGACGGGTTTGATCGTCTGCGTTAACGGACGCTGGACCGCAATCAGAACCGGCTGTGTGGTGATGGGAGACGCTGAGAGAGAAAACAAGCACACACTTAGTGACGTTATGTAAACTAATTGATGCACTATTGACACACAGATTCAGACAGATACAGATAAGCAGTGCTATTTCAGGATCACTGAGATCCTATTTTATAGATTGTATTAATATTTCAAACAATTGTTTATTTCATATTTTCAGTTTCCATTTTAAATACAAGTTTTAGTAATTTTGTTGTAGGTTTTAATATTTAATTTTTCTTATTTTTTATGTCTATACCGTTTTTATTTCAGTAATGTTCATCAAGTTTAAACTAAAATGAGAACCATTACATACGTTTTTTTTCTTTTATTTATTTTTTGTTCCATTTAAATGTTATTTTATTTGAAATAAAGATGTTTTTTTAAGGTTTGATTTACTATAATAACCCTGCCGATAATCTGCAATTGTTTTTGTTAAGACCCATAACCTTAGTGACGTTATGTAAACTAATTGATGCACTATTGACACACAGATTCAGACAGATACAGATAAGCAGTGCTATTTCAGGATCACTGAGATCCTATTTTATAGATTGTATTAATATTTCAAACAATTGTTTATTTCATATTTTCAGTTTCCATTTTAAATACAAGTTTTAGTAATTTTGTTGTAGGTTTTAATATTTAATTTTTCTTATTTTTTATGTCTATACCGTTTTTATTTCAGTAATGTTCATCAAGTTTAAACTAAAATGAGAACCATTACATACGTTTTTTTTCTTTTATTTATTTTTGGTTCCATTTAAATGTTATTTTATTTGAAATAAAGATGTTTTTTTAAGGTTTTATTTAATATAATAACCCTGCCGATAATCTGCAATTGTTTTTGTTAAGACCCATAACAAAAACACAAATAAACAACTAAATAAATCACATTTAATTACATTTAAATAAGTAGTCTACAATTGTATTGTAAGCTAATATACAGTGTTGCACAGATTTGGACAGATACCGATACTCTGTAATTATTTTTTGTTAAGGTCCATAACAAAAACACAAACAAATAAATACATAAAATTTAATTAAATTTAAATGAGTAGTCTACAATTTTACTGTAGACCAGGGGTGGCGAACATCGGTCCTGGAGAGCCGCAGCCCTGTAGTTTTGCTTCAACCCTAATCAAACACACCTGAACATTTTTTTCTTTTATTTATTTTTGGTTCCATTTAAATGTTATTTTATTTGAAATAAAGATGTTTTTTTAAGGTTTTATTTAATATAATAACCCTGCCGATAATCTGCAATTGTTTTTGTTAAGACCCATAACAAAAACACAAATAAACAACTAAATAAATCACATTTAATTACATTTAAATAAGTAGTCTACAATTGTATTGTAAGCTAATATACAGTGTTGCACAGATTTGGACAGATACCGATACTCTTTAATTATTTTTTGTTAAGGTCCATAACAAAAACACAAACAAATAAATACATAACATTTTATTAAATTTAAATGAGTAGTCTACAATTTTACTGTAGACCAGGGGTGGCGAATGTCGGTCCTGGAGAGCCGCAGCCCTGTAGTTTTGCTTCAACCCTAATCAAACACACCTGAACAAGCTAATCAAGGTCTGAAGGCTTACTAGAAAGCTACAGGCAGGTGAGTTTTAATTAGGGTTGGAGCTGAACTCTGCAGGGCTGCAGCTCTCCAGGACCGAAGTTCGCCACCCCTGCTGTAGACTAATATACAGTGTTGCACAGATTCTGACAGATACCGATAATCGGTGATTATTTTGATATTAAGTAAATAAAAATGATAGAAATTATAAAAAAAATAGATTAGCAGGGCTCCAGACTAACTATTTTTACTAGGAGCACTGTAGTCCCTGACTGAAAATGTTTAGTAGCACAAGCAGAAAATTTAGGGCCACACCTTAAATCAGCCTGCAATGCAATCATTCACATATTTTCCCCATTTTAACTGTATTACTGACAAATGCTTTGAAAATAAATAGACTTAAATCAGAGATTACAATATGCAGTATTCTTTTAATTTCAGAGAGATATGACATGAGTTTTTAAATGAAGGTTAAGTGTGATAAAATTACTATTGTTTTGCCTTAAGTGCAGTTACCAATAATATTTTATATATTTCATGTTTATACACATTTGACAGTAAAGCACTAAGCTTGAGTTGAGAAGCTTACAAAATTTATTTTATTAACAAAAGTAACATGTGCAAAATCTAATTTTTATGTTGAAAAGACATATATTGTACTCTTATTAGATGTACCATAATTCCTCTACAGTCTTATATGAAACTGACCAACAACTTACTTGACCAACAAGTGATTGTGTGATTTAGTTGCAAATTGAAGAAAAGTTCGTTTTTCAAAGCACTTTGTGATGTTTTTACTTCATACACAAAAAACATCAAAACTCTGACAAAATCAGATTTCTTGATGATTTGATATTTTATAATAGTTATTTTATAATTTCAAAATATAAAGGAAAAGGTATAAACGAATGACTAATAAGCCAATAAGTGCTCCTCTGCTGCCATCTACAAGTTATAATGGTGATTTGATGTATTTTTTTATTTTACACAAGTGTTTGTTCACCACAGTATATTTTGGACATCCCATTGAAAATAACATTCAAATTGGATCATTTAGGAGCTTTAAAGTGCTGGAAACAGTTGTGTGAAATGCTTGTAAGTCATTGAAAATAGCTTGAATTTCTCTTTCAAAAGGCTGTACAAACCCTGAAATGAATAATGTAATAACATTCGACTATTTCTGCCACAACATCATGGTTATAGACAGCGTTACCGCTTCTGGTTTTCTACGTCAGCTTTTGATCTGTTTATAACAGAGATTTCTGTGCAGAATTTGAATGCTTCTCATCTTGCAGCAACCTTTATTCATTCTGCAGCGAATTCAAACGCTTCTCACTGGATCTTGCAGTGCTGTGCTGTGCTGTAACAGTGTTGCGAAATCAATTATAGTCCCCGAGTAAAGCTGTTCTGAGCTCAGACAAGTTTGTTTGCATCGTGGTCCGAGCTGTTAAACGGTCCGCGCTGCGCAGCTCAAACGAGTAGCAGGATTTTGTTTCGCTATCGTTTCGTTTGCCGTTTGATGTTTCTCAAATGCAACAGAAATGTTCTGTGCAGAATTTGAATGCTTCTCATCTTGCAGCAACCTTTATTCATTCTGCGGCGAATTCAAACGCTTCTCACTGGATCTTGCAGTGCTGTGCTGTGCTGTAACAGTGTTGCGAAATCAATTATAGTCCCCGAGTAAAGCTGTTCTGAGCTCAGACAAGTTTGTTTGCATCGTGGTCCGAGCTGTTAAACGGTCCGCGCTGCGCAACTCAAACGAGTAGCAGGATTTTGTTTCGCTATTGTTTCGTTTGCCGTTTGATGTTTCTCAAATGCAACAGAAATGGGAACGTGAGTTGAACAACGGGGTGGTCGCGCCAGTGCGACCGCCCACAAAATGTGACCATTTGGTTGCAGTCTGGAGCCCTAATTAGTCTACAATTATACATAAAATATTATTGAAATCAGACCAATATAGATAATACAAATAATAAAAAATTATAATAAAGATCATGAGTTTCTTATAGTAAAAGATCAACACAAGTGGATGTTTGATTATTTATGTTTGAGTACCTGTGGTGTTCTGGATAAAACGGGCCTCTTGAATCACAGCTAGCTTGGGTTGGACGGCAGCAGCGGAAGCAGCAGCAGGGGGCGGGGCAGAGGCAGGCTCTGGCTCCATGGGAACAGGTGAGCCTTCCCGTGATAGGCTGTCGGGGGTCTGCACACCGCTCGAGTGGGCGGAGAGAACGCCCGAGTGATTGGGCGACGCCGGTGCGCTCCTGTCATCAGAGACCAACGCGTCAGGATGCATTTTACATACATTACCACTCGAAAGTTTGGGGTCAGTAAGATTTTTTCAAAATAAATTAATATTTGTATTCAGCAAGGATGCATTCAATTGATCATAGGGGACAGTAAAGACGAAAGATTTCTATTTCAAATTAATGCTGCTCTTTTGAACTTTCTATTCATCAAAGAATCCTGAAAAACTAAATGTTTCAGACTTTCCACAAAAATACGAAGCAGGACGATTGTTTTTAACATTGATAAGAACATCGTATGCTTAAAGGTCAGTGCTATGACCTTGACCTGGATGAGAGGGGTCCCAGCGGGGTCCTGAAGCACGGGACGCCCCGTGGCCGGCGTTTCCTGAATGCCTGCTCCACGAGTTTGCTCTCAGATGACGGGTCTATCCTCCAGAATGAGCCCTTGCCCGGCTCTTCCTGTGAGCGTGGGACTTTGATGAAGTACCGATTCAGTGACAGGTTATGACGAATCGAGTTCTGAAACAGAGAAATTCATTTATTCTGTCAAGTGACATCGTCATCCATCTGATGCATAGATTCTGACAGACATAGTAAGCAAGTAAGTAACTAGTTTTGTAATTTTTTTATAAACTAAATTATAAAAAAAATAAGAAATTAAGTCTGTTCGGTTCAAACAGCATCGTCTTCAGCTGATCTGACGGTGTGGTACTGACCTGCCAGCCTTTATCTGCTGTCCTGTAGTACGGGTAGTTCTTGGTGATGTGTGTGTAGATGCCGTTTAGTGTTAGCTGCTTGTCCTGTGCCATCGTTACTGCCTGAACGATCAACTGAGCATACGAGTACGGGGGTTTGGAGTCATCCTAGAGCAACAGAGACAGATTATTAGAAGATTTGACCTTTCAGATTAACTCATTTAGATTACTAGAGTACTTTTTGAGAACAACATTTTTTAATAATTAATATTGTTAATGCTTTAATGTTTTTGAAAGAAGCCTCTTCTGTTCAACAAGACTGCATTTATTGGATTACAAATACAGTAAAAAAAAAAACTAAAATTGTGTACTATTACAATTTAATACTATTACAATTTAAAATTACTCCAGTCTTCAGAGTCACATGATCCTTCAGAAATATAATAATAAATCTAATATAAAATGATGATTTGCTGTTCAAGAAAAATTTCTAATTATTATCAATGTTGAAAACATTTGTGCTGCTTCTTATTTTTGAGATAAACTGAGACATTTTATTTTTGAGGATTCTTTTATGAATAGAAAGTTCAAAAGAACAGCATTTATTTGAAATACAACAATACTGTAACATTATAAAATCACCTTTGGTCAATGTAATGCATCCTTGTTAAATAAAAATATTACATTTCTTTCTTGCTTTTTGTAATCACACTTGCCTGAAACATTTGAATGATCACCATTTCCACAAAAATATTGAAGCATATTAGAATGATTTCTGAAGGATCATGTGACACTGAAGACTGGAGTAATGATGCTGAAAATTCTGATTTGATCACTGAAATAAATTACATTTTAACGTATATTCAAACAGATAACGGTTATTTTAAATTGCAATAATATTTCACAATTTAACTGTTTTACCGTATTTTTTATCAAATAAATGCAGCCTTGGTAAGCAATAAGAGATTTCTTTCCAAAACATTAACAAAAATCTTAATCATTCCTCACTTTTGACTGGTATTATAGATGTCTCTGGTTATTACATCTGATAGTGTGTGGTTTATCAGTACAGAAATTGTCACCTTTGGACTGTCTCCTTCTGATGCCTCTTTGTCGTTCTCAGACTGAGAGTTATCATTCATGAGCTGCAGGTCAGGCACGATCCTGCCCAGTCTGTAACCGGACGATCCCGCACCACGCGGACTGGATGGACACGAGTTGGCAGCGCTGACAGAGAAATAAATGTATTACCAAACACTCCAAAACCATCATCTGAAATAGAGCGATGGAAACAGATGGACCGCAGGAGAGGAGGAAGTTTAATTTTCTATGCAGAACAGGAAACTGCCTCATTTGTGTAGCAGCCAAACTCAATTAAATCAATCAAATCAAAGTAGCCCATAAAGGGACAACGCTGCAGCTGCAATTCAAACTCAAACACACAAAATCACCAACTTGAAATGAACAAGAACGTCACAGTTTCTGTTCCAAATGCACTTGAAATCTTTTAAAAAAAGCTTTCATATCATTCTGATACAAATTATATCTTATCATTCAGCCAGTGTTGTTTTTATTAAAAGTAAAAAAAAAAAAAACCCGCTTTGTTCCTGATGGTGTGTGTTGGTAATGCCGTGTTTGGACCTGATGGTGTGTGTTGGTGATTAAACGTTTGTTCCTGATGGTGAGTGTTGGCAATGCTATGTTTGTTCCTGATGGTGTTTGTTGGTAATGCTGTTTGTGCTCCTGATGGTTTGTGTCATTAGTGATGTATTTGTACCTGATGGTGTGTGGTGGTGATTAAATGTTTGTTCCTGATGGGGAGTGTTGGTAATGCCGTGTTTGGACCTGATGGTGTGTGTTGGTGATTAAACGTTTGTTCCTGATGGTGAGTGTTGGCAATGCTATGTTTGTTCCTGATGGTGTTTGTTGGTAATGCTGTTTGTGCTCCTGATGGTTTGTGTCATTAGTGATGTATTTGTACCTGATGGTGTGTGGTGGTGATTAAATGTTTGTTCCTGATGGGGAGTGTTGGTAATGCCGTGTTTGGACCTGATGGTGTGTGTTGGTGATTAAACGTTTGTTCCTGATGGTGAGTGTTGGCAATGCTATGTTTGTTCCTGATGGTGTTTGTTGGTAATGCTGTTTGTGCTCCTGATGGTTTGTGTCATTAGTGATGTATTTGTACCTGATGGTGTGTGGTGGTGATTAAATGTTTGTTCCTGATGGGGAGTGTTGGTAATGCCGTGTTTGGACCTGATGGTGTGTGTTGGTGATTAAACGTTTGTTCCTGATGGTGAGTGTTGGCAATGCTATGTTTGTTCCTGATGGTGTTTGTTGGTAATGCTGTTTGTGCTCCTGATGGTTTGTGTCATTAGTGATGTATTTGTACCTGATGGTGTGTGGTGGTGATTAAATGTTTGTTCCTGATGGGGAGTGTTGGTAATGCCGTGTTTGGACCTGATGGTGTGTGTTGGTGATTAAACGTTTGTTCCTGATGGTGAGTGTTGGCAATGCTATGTTTGTTCCTGATGGTGTTTGTTGGTAATGCTGTTTGTGCTCCTGATGGTTTGTGTCATTAGTGATGTATTTGTACCTGATGGTGTGTGGTGGTGATTAAATGTTTGTTCCTGATGGGGAGTGTTGGTAATGCCGTGTTTGGACCTGATGGTGTGTGTTGGTGATTAAACGTTTGTTCCTGATGGTGAGTGTTGGCAATGCTATGTTTGTTCCTGATGGTGTTTGTTGGTAATGCTGTTTGTGCTCCTGATGGTTTGTGTCATTAGTGATGTATTTGTACCTGATGGTGTGTGGTGGTGATTAAATGTTTGTTCCTGATGGGGAGTGTTGGTAATGCCGTGTTTGGACCTGATGGTGTGTGTTGGTGATTAAACGTTTGTTCCTGATGGTGAGTGTTGGCAATGCTATGTTTGTTCCTGATGGTGTTTGTTGGTAATGCTGTTTGTGCTCCTGATGGTTTGTGTCATTAGTGATGTATTTGTACCTGATGGTGTGTGGTGGTGATTAAATGTTTGTTCCGGATGGTGAGTGTTGGTAATCCTGTGTTTGTTCCTGATGGTGTTTGTTGGTAATGCTGTTTGTGCTCCTGATGGTTTGTGTCATTAGTGATGTATTTGTACCTGATGGTGTGTGTTGTTTATAAAGTGTTTCCTGGAGGTGTGTGTTGTTATAGTGTTTGTACCTGATGGTGCGTGTTGTTTATAAAGTGTTTGTACCTGATGGTGCCGGTGGGCGAGGGCAGGGGGCTCATGAGGTGAGCGATGTTATCTGGGATGTTAATGGTTAAAGGGGAGATCTGTGGCTGAACCGCTTTCACCGGAGACTCCAGTTCCTGCTTCTCACGCTTGACGCTCGCCAGCGCAGTGAACGTGATCTTGATGTTCGTACTGGGGAACCGAAATGTGCACCTGAGAAAGAGAGAGAAAGCGATTATGCAACTTAAAAGATATAATCGATATGGATCGAACAAGCATCAACACGAACCTAAGAATGAGATCTGCGGCCAAAACAAAGCTTCACGCTTCCAAAACACATGGGTGGAGCGTTTAAGGTAGAGAAGAGTGCGTTTAACATTTAAAGATATGTCTAAAATCATAATATCAATCTATCGTTTTTACAAACAATTAACAAAGAAATGCATTCAGCTCATGTTTTACAAATTAGTCCATTACAAGCATTATCCAAGCACATTAAAGCTGTTTACATGGAAACTGAAATCACAAAAACAGAGAAACTCACAGTTTAGGATGTTTATATGTGCAGTCAGTTCAATAAGTGTAATCGGTTTATTAAACGCATGTAAACACTGTTAACGTGCTTCAAACAGAAGTTTTCTTTGACTAAGATGACTGTGGCAATAAAGCCCAGGAGTATAAGTAGATCCCCAAGTGATGCTAAAATTAACCACCCCTTGACGAAGTAATATTCAGTGTTAACACTAACAGCTCCATGAGTAAACAAGTCACTTCACCCACCAAAACATGAACAAAACACAGCTCACACAGAAATCAGTTATTTTAGCACTGCTAATCATACAGCATTACAATAAGATATCGTGTTCAATAAATAATAATAAAATGTACTAATAAATAAACCGACCGACCGACCGACCCACACACACACACACACACACACACACA